TAATTTGGATGGGTGAGCAAATACTTTTGGCAATATAGTGTATATATATATGAGTCGTGGGTACTTGTAGATGGCATAAAATAGTTTCTAATAGCATTAAAAGAGCATTAATTATTGCATTTTAAATTATTATATTTTATTATTAAATCCTGTACTATATAAATACAAACTGTCATGTTTTTATTATCCTCTAAACATAACAAAACAGATGAAAAAGGAAGACTCTCATTCAGACTAGAATGTTAGGAAAAACACATAGTTTGTTTCCGATCAGACACAAATGCACATTAAACCCAACTATTAGTAAATGTCACAAAATATAATGAACTGTACCGTTCTTATATCAAAAACATATCTCCTGTTATTCCATTTGAACCATTTTTTAGGTGCACACAGGGGTAAGGGCGTTCCAGTGTCCTCACTGCCCCCTCACCTTCAAATGGAGCTCCCACTACCAGTACCACCTGCGGCAGCACACTGGGGAAAGACCATATGTATGTAAAGAGTGTGGCAAGTCCTTCAAGAACACCAGCTGCCTGCGGAGGCACAGTCAGATGCACTCTGGGCTCCGGCCTCATACGTGCTCCATCTGCTCCAAGTCTTTCTCCCAGACGTCAAATCTCAAACAGGTCAGTTCACCCAGTATGGAGTTATAAACAGGGATATGCAAAGGTTTTCATGCACCTTGAACCTTTTCACATTTGATCTTTGTTACAACCGTAATCCCCAGTTTATTGTTATGTGATACACCAATGTACATTTTCACAGACACTGTGCCCAGTTATTAGGAAAGAATGAATTTTGGCCATAAAGCTCTTTGTTTTGTTCTTTATTTAGTTTTTTGCTTGTTTCTAAACTGCAAGCTGTTCTTGTTTTGTTTACAATCATTAGATGCCTTCTGTTCTCCAGGCAACAGATTTAAACGAGGAGATTTAACTGAAACTGGATAGAAAAAGTGGAAAAAAGTCTGCTCCCCTCTTAAAGCTGCCGATATATTGGAATGTGAACACAAAAATAATAAATGTTTTGTTGCCTGTAATTAGTTGTCTCAAATATCATGTGGGGGAGAAAATAAATAAATAAATTAGCTGGCAACACAATTATGAAGCTACCAGGAACAAACGCAACTCTGAGTCCTGTTATTCCATAGCTTCAGCCATGCTGTAGTTCTCAAAAGTACCAGAAGTTCAATGATCAAGGTGGCCTTAGTTAGGCAAGCTGAAACCTCGCTACACTGAACAAGATGCATACCTTTAAATGAAATAAATTACTAGAGGACAGGTTTTCCAAATGTTTCATTATTTGTTTAAATGTTGGTCAGGAAAAGAGCGAAGAGATGAACTTTGATTCACACTCCAGCAAAGTGGAGGTTGGGTAGAAAGACTTGCTAGATGGGCTTAAAATCCACTCCTGAACTCACTCTCTGGTTATAGAAGACACAAGGAAAAATAAATCTTTCAAGAACTTGGTTTTCAAGTGATTCATGCATTACATGCATCAAGAAAATAGGACGAGTCATGTACTATGACTCGATGATGGGGATGCCAGCAGCTCTCTCTGGTTTCTACAAAGGCTTTAAAATTATATTATGGCTCCCTGTTGGGATATGATATTTTATGTATTTATTTCAAACTTTTTGTTTACTCTATTTGTTTGTAAGCAAAGCGCTTTTGCGTATATTTGCCATAAGATCAAGCGACTGTAGCTAGGATATTGTGCATGCAGTGAGTAAATGAGGAAGCAATGGAGCCACGCATGTTGGCAATACGCAGCAGAGGGTGTAAGAGAAAGAAGGAAAAGTCCTGGATCCAGTTTGAGAGAGCGCATCCTGAGGGTTGAGTTGAGCTTAAAAAAATGTTATGAACGTTGATGTTCACTGAAATGGAAGTATAAGCAGTGAAAGCATTCAGATTTCATTGCCGACTTGATGGATACGGGAGAAGTTACTGCCAGCAGGTGGTGACGTAAAACTGTTTATATCCGCTGATCCTGTCTGGGGCAAAAAATTATTTTTGGGCTCAAAAAGGACTAAGTAAACATTACCAGGAATAAAGGTTAGTGCGTGTATTCTCGTATTTAATTTATTTCTTTTTTTAGAGTCAGCACAGGATCAGGCACCTTTAAAAATAAAATAATGAAATTGATGAAATGTCACATTTCCTCATCAACGATGTTGACAACCAGTGGGCTGTCTTTGAATGGCAGATTTATGGTAAAAGATCAGCTCACCTACTACTTAAAAGAATAATTGAGAATTGAGCGACAACCCAATGAGATGCTGTTTGTGAAGAGAAGAAAAGATGTATCAGAGACCTTTTTTGTATTTAAAAACTGCTAATTTTGCTCATTTTAAGTAGCTTTTTTCTAATTACAAAAATGAACATGTTTCGTGATTTTCATAAGAAATTCAAAACCTTATTTTAATTTAGCCAAATAATCAGGTCTTTGGTTTTATTCCTATTTAAGATTTACTTGGAGCACTTTTGTTGCACTTTTGTTGTTTAATACTCGAATGAGTCTTTAAAAAAATACAGCCATCCTACCATTTAGTTAAAAACGTAGCACCGCGAGTTTGAAAATGATTTAATAATCTGGGGTATGTCTCTAGCAGCTTTTCACATTTAGAAACTGACATCTTTCATTTCTGCAAAGCAGTTTAACCTCACATAGACTGCATGGATAAGCATTAGTTTGGCAAGTATAGTCGCATATGCTCAATGGTTGCTTTGTTTTCAGAGAGAAAAACAGCTCTAATCCTAGAAGGTATCAGCAATATAACTGCTGTTCCAATGCTAAAATAACTCTGGTTATAAAGAGATAAAATGTGAAAAAGTTCAGTGTTTTGAACTTTGAGGCACTGCAGATTCTCAGTTATCGAAGCCAAATGTTCTCACTCATCCTAATTACTTTTATGTTCTTCCTTTTTATTATTCCTCTTGGAGCAGCATGAAAGAACGCATTCTGGCGAGAGACCGTTCCAGTGCACACACTGCAGTAAAAGCTTTACACACTCCTCCAACCTGCAGCTCCATCTCCGAACGCACTCCACACGCAAGGACTACAAATGCCCGTTCTGCTCCAAGGCGTTTGTCATGCACTCTTATTTGCAGAGACATATTCGAACCCACGGGAACAGCGTTTCCCTCCCTTGCCCCGGAGGCAGAGGTAAGGACGGCGTGGCTGTGAAGGCCAGCGTGGGCGGAGTCACAACCACCACCACCCTGCTCAATCCCATCACCCTGGAAACCACAGGAAACAACGGCAGCCTGATCGTGTCCCAGCCAGCACTTAACATCCCCCCTAACACCTCCCAGAACTACTTCATGATTCAGACGACGAACGGCCTGCAACTCATCCCTCTGTCGCCTCCTGCTCCTCCCCCTCCTCCTCCTCCACCTCCTCCATCTCAGTCACAAAACTTTCTCCTCCTTCAGTGTCCCGCCACTAATGGCAGCCAGTCCAGGCTGATTCTCCTCCCCACAGCAAACAACCCTCCACCACCTCCAGATCCGCAGTCCTTTCATATCCTTCAAACCGTACAAGCATTCCAGCCCGTCCTTGGCCAAACACAGACTCGGATCCCCCAGTTTCAAACCATATCCCAGCAACAGCAGCACGCCAATATCATTATTACAAACACTACTCCCTCTCAGGTTGCCAATGAGAACCACAGCATCTCGGCCCTGCTGACCAAGCCCATTTTAGGGAAGAGCACACGGACGGCGCGGGGCCGGCGTGGCCGCAAACCATCGGCTGCTCTGAAGAAAACCACAGCGGCTCCCATAAATCTGAGGGTAGGCGCTGCTGCTCAAGTGGCAAACTCTAACACTGCAGGCGACATTCGTATTACTGCTGATAACACTAATGCAGGCTCGGAGCTGTCCAGCTCTGCTGCCAAAACGCTTGCATCCTCCCCCGCTGTAGCCCTCAAAGCAGCCTCCTCAGAATCACTGCCAAACACCTCGAACGCAACCGTTTCACTTTCTGCTACCCCTGAAGACATTCCTCCTTCATCTATGAATCAGAACGGTAAAGAGGAAGCTATGGCGGGGAAAGAGTTTCTGCTGTGCTTTGAAAACACAGAGCAACCGAAGGATGGGCTGAATGTAAAGGAGGGTGGGGAGCCGTACGTGTTACAGTTTGAAGGAAGTCCATCAGGGGGGGCGGGAGATCAAGGGATCGATGTAGAGAGGAAGTCCATTGTGTTGCAGTTTAAGACAGGCCGACAAGATGAAGGTGAAAAGGGGGGAAATAAGGAGGGGGTTATGACACTTCTGCATGAATGGGGAGAGGGAAAGCACGGTGGGAGTCAGGCAGTTGGGGAGGGAAGTCAGGGGGAGTCGTACGTCCTTCATTTTCACACCGAAGCTCAGGAAAGTTCTCCACCAGGTGCCGCCTTCAACCGAGGACAAGACAACGGTCTTGAGCTTTCCTGCTCAGCAACCCAAGCCTTCGTCCCCATCGACGGACAGGAGGTGGTGTTCGACCAGATGGAGCCAGAGGCCGAGCAGAGCGTGCAGATGATAGCGCTGATCGATGGCGAAGAGGAAATGATGGGAGAAGGTGGGGCAGCCTGCAATGCCGCGGCTGAGGACGAGGAAGGGATGAAGAGCATATTCCAGCTGGAAAACGGAGACGAGATCGTTATAATCGAGGTCAGCACCAGCCAGCTGAGAGGTGAGGAGGGGGAGATCTCCCCTAGCAGCCACGTGAAAGGGGAAGGCGTAACGGCCAACATGAAGGAAAAGTCCGCAAAAGAAAACACATCAGAAGGACAAACACCCGAAGACTCAATAAAAAACTGCACTATATCAAACTCTGGGGAGCTAAAGTTCTCTGAGTGATGATGGGGTCAGTGAGAAGGTGAATGAGCCACTATGTGGGCTGTTTGGTAGCACTTTAGTCATTGGAGGTCTGGAAGTGAGAACGGACATGCAGTTCAAGGATTGTTGTGTGTAATGCCATGGTGCCGCTTTCTAGAAATGTTATACATTTAAATAGGCTAAATCATGGACTTTCTGTTATTCCTAAATGCTTTAGTTAAATTATACTGTCACCGGCAGTTTGTTTAAGTAGGATTTTTGTTAAGTGTTGTACATGGGACACTTTCCTCTCAGTGTTAATAGCAAATAGTAACTAATTAATAATAAATTTGTTAATATATTTTGTTTGACTTATTGAACAACAAAAGGAGGACATTATGTTCATGTACAAGTTGACATGAAAAGTGGAGGAGTGGCATGAAAATATCACTTTATTACTCAAGTTTTTAGATTTTATATTATGATAACTCTGAATTCCCAGTGGCTTTCGAATGCAACGTTGTTTTACATTTAAAGTAAGGTCTGAAAATGCATGTTTTACATGATTTCAATTGCTATTCAAATTTGTTTTGACTGCAGTTAATAACTGTTAAATCAGCATCACAAGATTTTCCTACAATAAAATTCTGTCTTTAGTCATCCCTCATTTCTTCATTTTTTTTTTTTTTTTGTAGGATTTTATTGTGAATGTCAGAAACTAAAGTGCCAAATAGTACAACTAAAGTGAACGAGACAGTTTGAAAAAAAAATAGCAGCAGGAAAAAAAAAAAACGTCTTAAATACTTTTTTTGTTGTTTTTTTTTAACTAACAAAGATGTTGATGATGATGATTTCTTTAGAAAGGTGAATTTTAAATCCTTCTAGATTTGACACGTAAAATTTCCAGCTCTTTATTTTTGAAAACTTTGAAATTGACATTTGTTTTGCTATTCCTACATATATTTTATTCATACTGGTCCTCTCTTCGGTATCAAAACAAGACACAGTTAAGCTAGCTTAATAATAGAGGTTACATTTCGTGATATTTAAATGTGTCTAATAATTACTTCAAGTGACACTTCAGAAATCAAAACATATTTGTTTTTCTTAAAGAATAAAAAAGAATGATGCAAAATAGGCAGGTTTATGTCCACCCATAGCCAAACCAAACCCCTAAACTCTAACCATAAGCACTAGCCCTCCGTTTGTGAGTCCCATTCAGGGTTGGCCACATTAAGTGCTGTCCCAAACCAACAAGTGGGTAGGGCGAGTGGACCATTCAGCCCTTAAACGGAGAGCAGGGCCGTAACCATGATTTTTGAAACACTAAGTTCAAATATCTTGATAAATTTTTTTTTTTGGGGGGGGAACATCCTAATATGGTTTTAAAATATATTTTGGAAACGTGAATATAGAGAATTAAATCACAAGCCCATCAAGGAGGTGTATATGAAAATTTTTATGTTGCTGTTTATACACCCCACCTTCAATCAAAGCACACTTTCTGTTTTTGTGAATCCCCATCAAGACCACTGTTCAAAGGTCCTCCCAAGGTTTTTATTCCTGCTGTTTCTGTCTTTTCTTTTTGCTGCCAAACTTTTTTCCATCTACTCAACTTTCTGTTGGGATGTTTGAATTAAGCACTTTGTAAACAGAATGCTTTAGCAGTGACCTTCTCTGGCTTACCCTCTTTTAGATACGAGTCAGTTTCTGTCTGTTTGATACATTTCTATTCAGCAGGCTAAAATTTTAGCAATAATATTTATGTTTAGTCCAAGGAACTTGGAGTTTTCGTGAGGTGCACGCTATACATATTAAAATTAACAGAAATAAATGTATATAAAATTTCAAAATTCATCCATTTTCTGTAAGAAAGTGTAGTAGCTTTCTTTTAGCCTTCACACTGGATGTGTGCAGCAGCAGACAGAGGAGGGGCAGAGTCTACTAAACTGACCTCCAAACGTAGGAAAGGAATAAGGTAAAGTTTCTGTCCTGAAAACGTTCATAATTAACCAGTGTAACATCTGTACAGAGGAGGATTAGTGCCACTGAAAAAAATAAAAGTTAACTATTTAAATATTTCAGTTTAATATGGGAAAAAAGTCAGAATTCAGATTTTTGTTCTCAGAAACTGAGGAAAAAGACAGAATTGTGCAATTAAAGTCAGAATTCTGATTTTTTTAAAAAGTCAGAATTCTTAGAAAAAAGAATTCTGAGATTAAAGTCGGAATTCTGACTTTTTTCTCATACTGAAATACATTTTAAAAATCAGTTAACTTATTTAATTTTTGTAGTGGCCCTAATCCTCTTCCGTACATTTGCATTAAACGAATTACTTTTTTATATTACTGTACTGTGTTAAGTTTTAGTCCTGAAGTCATATTGTAGTGCGATTAAATCAAAGGCTTTAACTTATCTTAACATTAAATGTGATTGTAATACATTATTTCCAGTCTGCTTTATCTAATATTTATAGCCAAGCGTAACGGGTACCGTTTTCAACGGTCTCTCGTATTCCGAGAAGCATCTGCGCACTGCGTACCCTAACGTACGCAAATGGCGTAAATAGACATAGATATGACTTGAACAGAATCGTAAAAACACTAAAGGGCTGTATTCAGAAAAGCGCTCTTTGCGTAAGCAGAGGCAGTTTGGTCATTCATCGACCACCACACGGACTGTTTATTAAAAGAGGCACATTCGGTGTTTATTGACGGAATCTGGGTAGAATTGGAGGCGCATCGTGCAGAAGGTAAGCAGAGCTTTGGGGACAGAGTTACAGACGAGCTTTACGTTAGCGGCAGCGTTACGGAATAACCATATATGGGTTTAACCAGCTCATTTAGCCCCCTTGATAGCCGAGAGAAGCTAAAAGCTGCACTAATTCATGATGAAAACACATTAATGGTACCAAATAGATGTAGATAATCCTGCATAATCCCCTGCTCTCTTCTTTGTTTGAGGATATATAAATGGTGATGCTGTAAATGTTTTCCATACTGTGCAATAACTCAGACTAAAATACTTATTTGAAACTCAATAATTTAAAGTAGAAATGGATAATTGTGTTAACTAGTTAAAATAAAAACAAAACTAAAACTGCAGGTAATAAATGCAAATCACAGTATCATTTTAGTCTTTTCATGTGCATGCTCTTTTTTCATGTCTAAATGTCTTACAGGCTGTCTGCACGTTGTGCATCACACTGCACAGGTAGAAACGGTGGTGCCATCTGCCTGCTGTCAAAACACAAAGAAAGATGGTGAGACTGGAGCTGGACCAGGTGGTGATGAGGAGAATGAAGGAGGATGACATTGAAACGATCAAAGCCCTCGTCAAGGTTAGTTCATTTGCTTTTATTTATTTATTTTTTTGTATGTTTTCTGTATATATATTTTTTTCACCTAAATCTGTTTCTCTCTAGGAAGGCTGCGAGGGCACAGAGAACCGTCTCATCCTACACATCCTCACACGTCCTCTCTGCCTTTTCATCCTGGCCGTTTTCTCCTCGATCCTGCGGTGTCTCGTCCACTCGTTTATCCTAGCACTTGCTATCCCTGTGTTCCTACTTATCGTTTTTCTAAAGATCACTATGCCACGGTCAACGGGGGTCCTGGGCAGCAGCCGGCCCTACTGGGACTACGTGGGCAGCAGCTACAGAGGCCAACAGGATGAGACACTACAGAATCCTTACTGCAGGATCAGCGGAAAAACACAAGGCACAAAAAAGGTGCTTGTTGCTGAAAAAATATAATTTTACGTGTGTGTGTGTGTGTGTATATATATATATATATATATATATATATATAAAGTTGAATAAGCTCCTCTTGGAAGTGCTTAAAAAACAAGCAGACCAAAGGACTTTTATGGTATGAATACAAAGGAAAGCTAATATCAGATTGAAAGAATTTCAGATATTCTCTCCTTTATTTGGCTCATGGATTGTGGGGAAATATGTAGACAAAGCTATATTTTGGGGCTGTTAAACATTTGTAAAGGGCAGTTATTAAATTGAGCTAATCTGTCGACATAGAGGAGATTGTTTGTGCTGTAAAAACTACAGATGGCTGTAAAATACATTCACTTAGCAGAGAAACCCGGCTTCAGTTGTTTTGTTAGTTTTTATTAGGATATCATAGGCATCTAACAACTTGTTTTTTGTCCAGCAAAGGCGAAGAATTGGATCTAAAGACAAAGACAAGGAGATCTCATCAGAGAAGATCACCGCAGAGAGAGAGCAAGCAGCAGGTCAGGTGTGGGTCGCAGACTGCGAGGGGGAGATAGTGGGCTGCATCTTCCGTGAAAGCGAGACGCGGCCGGGCGTCAGGAGGATCTGTAGGCTTGTGACGGGCTGCTGGTATCGCAGAGAGGGCTTGGGTCGACTGTTAGTCCAGAGTCTTGAGCTGAAGGAGAGGGAGGCCGGCGTACATAGAGTGTATGCGCACGTCCCCTACCCATCTAAAGTGGGGGAAGCCTTCTTTAGAAAAGTTGGCTATCTGCAACTGGGGGAGGCAGTTGACGAGGAAGAAGACGAAGAGATAAAGAAAGAGACTCCAGAGAGAGGTTTCATGGGGTACCCTCTCACTAAGGTGTTCTACAAAGATTTGTGATGTTGGTAAAGATTCTCATTCATCCAGGTCATAGTCATTCCAAAAAAAGTTAAAAACAATTCCACCAGACTTTGTTTCCAAGTTTGAAGACATTTCGCCTCGAATCCAGGAAGCTTTTTCAATACAAAATGTCAGGAATAGCACTGAGTGAGAGGATTTATAGAGTAACTCAACAAAGCCTTGTTTGAGCCTTGTTGAAAACATGCAAATTGGAATGGACGAACGGGTCAACCCCAATGAAATGGAGGTTGTTTGGCTTGTTTTGTTAGCCTGTAATGCACCATAATCATCTAAGTCTCTGAAAGTGGGGTTGTTAAAGTGGGCTTGTTGGCCTGGCTGAATAGACGAGGTCCTCCGCTCTCCTTTGCAGGTGCTGGGGCTGCGATGATAGCGGGAAGGGATTAACTCACGATGTATGTGCAGCTCACGCTGCACTCTAAAATCCACATCTGTCTCAGCCCCAGAGATAGATGGGACTACTGGGACTTGTTTATCCGGATGCCAAAGCAGTAGAAGAGGAATATGAAGCTTACTAAGGTGAAACGCGCTGCCTGGGAAGTTTTGCAATTTTGTGCTGAAAGCCCTAAAAAGAAGAGGCGGCGACATATTTGGACAAAGACATGGCTGATTAAATGTGGCTACTATGGTCAATTTTACAGAAGGAACTTTAAAGCCCTGCCTCTGAGTTTTCATCTGAGAGGAAGAAGAGGAGTCCTTATTTGCGCATGCCCACTGAGCGATTTGCCAACAACTTTTTTCCTTTTTTACCATAGATGGCTTCCTTCATGCCCCTCTCAAACAAAGCCTTGTTTTCAAAACCAAAACGAGGCTTTGTTGAGCTACTGTATGAATCCTCGAACTCAACGCTATTCCTGACTTTTTGTATTAAAAAAGCTTCCTGGATGAGAAGCGTAACATCTTCAAACTCGGAAACAAAGTCCAGTTGATTGTTTTTTTTGGAAAGACTTGTGATTGATGACTGAATGAAGGCAATTCATTTCAAGTTTACTTGTTAACGCTAAGGATATTCATTTACTGTCTAAGTTATTTATTTTTTAATGATGAACTGTTTCTCTTTATTTATTCATCTACAACAGACCTTATTAAGTTTAAGACGTTATGTACTGCTACACGTTTGATCAAAAAAATTATTCCTATTTCTTAAACTTGTATCCTTGTGTCTGTACAGAGTGTAACGATGAAACATAAAGCATTTGTGTGACTTGAAACTGTAAAGATGTGTAGGTGTTTGTACAGATACTGTAGAGGAAGTATGTGTGGTTTATGTGAATGTGCAGAATTCATCTTTTATCTTGGCGCTTCTCGTCTGATACTGCTCACCTTCACGTACACAAATTGTGACTATGCAATAACAGCAGATGCTTCCTTTTCATTTATAGGTCTTTATATAGGTCTGGTTATAGGTCCGGTTTTGAATTATCCTTCTTAATCTTGTTAATGGTATTCAATGTGGTGGCAGCATCATGCTGTAGAGATGCTGTTCTTAAGCTAACGGAGACAAGCTAATCTGAGTAGGTAAGAGGATGAGGGAGCTAAATCAGACCAATCCTGGAAGGATGCAACAGACTTGAGATTGAGGAGCATATAAATGAGCTTGAGCCAATTTGCAGAAAAGAAAATGATTTTAATATCTGTACATACAAACCTATTAGAAACACACCCAAAAGTTAAACATTCAGGGGGGTTGAATATAAATGCAAGTGCATACTTTTCTATCATCAATTTGTAAAAACAATTTACCTTTACCTCACAATCATGGATTGCAATATGCTGGTTTATGAGACACACACACACACACACACACAAAAATATTGCAATTCATTAGAGCTATTCATTGTAACGTAAGGAAAACAGTGAAAAGTTCAAGAGTTATGAATACTTTTGCAAAGCAATTAGAATCTGACCTTATTTTAATTGCGAATAGATTTTTGCTGAAGCCCTTGATTTTTCAAAGATGTATTAAAGCTTACAAAAATATACATAAGATCTCCTAATAAAGAATAAGTGTGGTTTGAAAGTGCCTGTCAGTTTTGTGAGAGTGAAAATGCAAACCCCCCCCCCCCCCCCGCCTGAGGCTAACCTTAATATGGTTAGCAGCCCTCATGCTTTTCTCATTGTGAATCTACCTTCCTGCTAACCGCACACAATGTCAATGCAGCATCAGTGCACCACCATTTAACACCACAGGATGTTTGTACAATGCAGACATGTATAAGAAGGTGGAATGTAACACCTGGTGTGGAGACAAAAATAGGTTTGAAGTGAAATGCAAACTCATGCATGCTCCATCATGCCTAAAAGGTCCCTAATTATGCTTAATTTACTTTATAAACATAAACAAGCAAGTCATATGTGTCCTGAAGCCTGTGTATTATGTTCACTAATGAAAAAAAAACCTTTCACCTCTATAATTACCTCTGCACTTCTTAGCAAATGTGTGCTGAAAATGCTCTGCCTGAAAAGCATACCTTTGTCATTAGGGAAATGTAATTAGGGGAAAAAAGGTTTCCAAAGTGTTCTGTAGCAGCCCATTGGTCAGCTCCGACCATCATCTTCTCTTTTATTCCGTGCTCCTAGGCTTTCTTTAGAAACTTTAGGATCTTTAGGAACTCTGACTGGTGGTGGGTTGATGGGCGTGGTATTTGGGAGGATAGGGGCTCCTTATAACTGTTGTTATCTCAGAATTAACCTTTTAATGAGCATTTTAATGTCAAGCAGCTTAAGTGTTTCTTACAGCTCCCATTTGCCATCATGACCTGCTGCAAAAGGGATTTATGGATGACACCAGCTTCTGGCAACGCTTCTAAAGAATCCTAATTCTCCCTGCATGCGTAAAGGCATTCAGTCCCTTGGTGTTCTTTGGCTTGTAAGCTTAAACCAAATTTTTGCACACCAGAGATTCTCAATAAGGTTCAAGTCAACCGAATTGAACCCTACGTCATGACGTCATGACCGCTGTGCTTTTGTCTAGAATTGGTCTTTGAACCCAGCCTTCGTAGATCATTGTCCTGTTTGGGGATCCAGTGACTCCAGAGGTTGTTCTGTGACATTTTCTCCAGATTGGGTTTATTTCCAAATGTTCTCTGTGCGAGAAAAAAAAAGACACACCATGCTTCACTATACAGCAATTATGTTGTTATTCTCTGTCCTGTTCCTCTGCTTGCAGGCATACAGCTGAGAAGATCAACTTTTATTTCAGAACCCCGTGGAACCACATCCCAAAACCTGGATGGCTTATTTTGATAGCTGTAAATTCAAGCTGAATTATTCAGCTTCTGGGTAGTGGTCCCATTCTGGTATTTTAAGGCGTATATCTCTTCATGTTGTACCTTACTATGAAAACTCAAACACTACTGACCCCTGCCAGCAGGTATTGCTGCATAAGTTCTATAGTTAGCTGAGACTGTTTGACAAAGTCTTTAGTTACTGATTACTTCCTCTTTCTGCTACCACAGTTTAACCACAGTTCCTCCAACTTAAAACTTGAACGCTACACCTTTAAATCTCTCTTAAATCCCTTTTTTTGCAAGGAAATCATGTATTTACTGAACTGTCTTGACATTACAACATCCAATTAAACATTACCACTACATTTAAGGTCTTTTTAACTGATCCATGAAGCCATTGGTTCTGGGCTGAATAATTCTGAGGTGCAGCAATTATAGAAGATGGGATTTGGTGTTGATTAAGATTAAATTAAATTGTTCTTGAACAATTTATGTATTGCAAACCCCTGAGCATTTTTTACGTATTTTTTTTTTACCAATTTGTATTGAGGGTTGACTAATTTTAGTTGCAATTATAACCCATTTATTTGTTATATATCTGCTGTTTTTAGCTTTTTGATACTTCTTGTTGTTTCCTCATTTATTTTCAAACTGCAGACACCTGTAAGCTGTGCCTCTACCCGCCTGATCTGTAGCTATTATTGTTGTCAGGAAACAGATGTGAGTTCACACACTGGAAAGAAAGTCTGTTTGTAACTGTGGTCAAATGCGTCTGCACGGTATGGCTGTGTGTGTGCGTGTGTAGGTGTGTGTGTGGTTGTGTGTGCATGCAGGGTGTGGGCGGGTGGGTTTCGGAAACTATGACTTGGCATTTCTTACACTCGCTTTCTCCTCTTCTCAATTCAGGTTAATGCATATGTCTAGCCATCCTGGAGCACTCCTGAAAAAAAAAGTGCATGAGTGGGGTTGGAGGTGCACGCGAGCGTTCACGTGTGACAGAGAGATGACCTTGGTCCATTGCGGTGGACCTCAGAGCTGGGTGGGAAGTGGGTTTACATCCAGTCTGGCATTAAATGAGCTCCTTGAAGTTGAAAAGGTACCAATGCACACAAGTTTAATGTGCGGAAACATTAGGAAACATGCATCGTCAGAGTAATGCAATAAGATGTGAGGTCGCTGAGAGCAGGCAGACGCACATGCATGAATCATTCTAAATTTGGGGGCACCACACAATCGCTGGATAAATTGGATAAATTTGTTCCAGATGATGTATAACATATAGACAGTGTTAATGACATGCCCGCACAGATGAGCTCCAAAAACAGCCACCCTGGGAAACGGTGAATTCCCCAAACCACAGAGTGCACAAGAGGGTGAGGGGAGTCATGGGAAAGCGGGATGCCAGCATCCTGTGCCAACGAGTGAATGAAGGGCTAAGGATCTAAAACAGACTGAGCATAAGAAACACAAGAGCAATAATAGACAGTGTAGTACTGGGCTGGTGAAAACATTTGAAGGTTCAAAGGCAATTTGCAGCTGGTCAGCTGGACGAATGGCCGGTGCAGCAGACACGCAGGATGAGGAGGGCTGATTACAACCCTGCTACTCGGCCTGACACAGTTTGGGAAAACCCAGATCAGTCTGGGGAGACTTGTGTGTGTGTGTGTGTGTGTGTCAGGGGTTGCAAGCTAGGTGGAAAATTTTAATGGCAGGAGGGCTAAGTTACAGATCAAGGTGAGGATTTTTTCTTTTTTTTTTCCCTCTCTGTGATCTAGGAAAACCTTAGGGTGGAAGTCAGTGGCCGGGGTTTGGAAAATTTTTCAGGGAGTTGGCCCATTTTCTGACGTTTGTAAGAAACCAGAGTCTACAAAAAACGTCAAACACTCTTCCAACGTGTGGTCTCAGGGATTATTCAATAAAATCTGGAATGTGTCCGAATGAAATTCTTTTTATCTTGCAGTATAAACAAGATGTGTATGGTAAAAGTTTTATTTCTTTTAGAGATATTATAAAAAAAAAAATAGAAGCTTTATATTGTTTAGATTATTAACATTTTCAAAGGGTTTTTTTCATTCAAAGTTTTAAGATTGAAGCTCATAACTGCTGGAACCCAGAATCCAAATTTTCAAAAGATTCGAAAATTACAGAAGAACAATTAAAATGTTTTATTGTAAGTACAGGAATTTGGTCGGCTCTAAAGTATATCCATTCTCTCAACAGTCTATGCATCAATACTTGATCAAGGCTTCTAATACATTAATAACTAAACCATAGCAGAGTGATAAGGATGCACTGAGTACATGGCTCTGTTTCAGTGTAAAGAGGCCAAGGTGATAGTGGCCTTCAGCTTATCTGTAAAAATGGCTCTGGTGTTTCTCGACTTCATCATCGCAAAACCCAACAGATTTTCTATGGAGGATATAGAAAATATCAAACTTGTCATAAAATATTCAGTAGAACAGGTACTGGTAGCTTTGACAGTGTGAGGATATATTAAGCCCCGTTTGCATCAGACTGGTCGATCATCTATGCTTGTGCTGCATATTTCCTTTTTACTTCCACAACATTTTCCATCAATGAGTTTGGATAAAATAATCATAGGACAACCAGCTTTTTTAGCAGTGACTTTATATGGCTTATCCTATTTATCCTAAAAACTGTGGGAACCTTGATGCTCAATGCCGGCAGCCTTCTACATGATTGCATCTGCTAGAATATGGCCATTTAATTAAAAAAAAATTTTTATTGGTCTTAAGTATTAACAAATCAATAAAGTCTTTTGGACACACATTAGATGAAGATGCCACATAAACTAACATGCTTCTTTAAAATAAATGAATTAAAGCTACAATTACTTAATAGATGTCTGGTTTCTCAGTAAGGCACTGGTATGTAACCATTTCTTCTGTATCACATCCCCCCAAACTTACTTTGAAAAATGTCTCCAACCAACCAGAGGCCGCCTTTGCTTTATGCAGGATGTTTATGTTTGGAGGTATAGGTTCTCAGTTCCCTCCTTTTAACCCCCTCAGTGCACACACACACACACCAACACACACACTTTCACTCTTTCTCATTTACCTCCATTTAATACCCACGCCTGACAAGTGACAAAGCAAAGCGCGGCTTTTGAAATGATTACAAAGCTAGACAGGTGAGCAAAATAAACGAATTCTTTTTTTTTATACTTTGCATTTTTATCTCGGTTTCGTCATTTAGCGTTTGCACACATTTAAAGGGAAAAATAATTGAGGAGATTTTAATACTTTTTCAATGCATTTATGACAAGATCACACTTTGATGCTGATTTTCTGATTCTTAAATAGAGCACAATCAAGGTTTCAGTATTAATAATTGCTAAACAACTGTCTTGGTTTCACTAAAAGTTGTGAAACTGAGAGTAAGAAAAAGTGTTCTTAGTGAATCTTAGCTGTTGTCTCATTGCCCATCACACATATTTAGTTAACCACAGATTTTACATGCCTGCCTTGCTTAAGCTTCTTAGATTAAAGCTTGAATAAGAAACTACTCTCAGTGATTCATTATGGTCCAGATCTTGCAGTGCATTGTACTGTAATAACATATCTGTAAATTACTGTAACGTTTTTTGTTTTTTTTTAAATGACTTGATGAGTCATTTATATAAGAAAATCTTTTTTGGTGTTAATCCTGACAGGCATTGCATCAGGTAAAAAAAGCAGATTTTCTTCCTATTTTTCGCAGGGCACTGTTACCCAAAAAAAAGTTCATCTATCATTACAAAAACATGCGCTGGGCAAGAGGTCGGTGTGAGACATATCTCTGCTTTGTGGTGAAGAGGCGAGTGGGCCCAGACTCCATATCCTTTGACTTTGGACATCTCCGCAACCGCAATGGCTGCCATGTGGAGGTAAGAAAGGGAAGATGTTGTTCAGGTGCATTGCAAAATGAAGCAGTTGGGTATCCGGGGCTGGACCCATTCATCAGCAAGATGTGAAACAATAAATCCAACTTTTATCACCGCAGCATAATCTCAAATTGAAATATTTCTCCAGAGTTCTACAACATTTATTTAAAATGTCCTATTTTTTTAATAAGTTTAAGATATTCTACCTTTGCAAAAACCAAAAGTTCTGAAAAAAAGGTCCACAGCTACAAGCCAAACCAACTGTATTTATAAAGCACTTTAAAAACAACAGATAAGGACCAACCTGCTGAAATAAAGGAATATGTGGTTAACATGCATAAAATAAGAAATAATAAAAGAGTTAAAAGCATAAAGGAATATTTACAGTTGCACTCAAGCATAGCGGCCATAGATTATGATGATAATTTTGTCAGATTTGATTATACAACAGGGTTGAAATTGATTAACTAAAAACCTGACATATTTATACCTGACATGTCATTTATACATTATGTTCATAATAATATAAGTAACACATGTTTGCGTTTGTGATGGTAGGAGGGGAAATTTTCTTTTCGCTTTGAATGTATGGGTAAGAAAGTTAAGTAAGTTACCCAGTAGGGTAAGTTTAGCTGGATTTAGTGGCTATTTTCTTGCAGCCATTACTTGACTTAAAAAGATGAAAACACATCTGGTTTATTTTTGAGTGTATGTTCTCTTGTCTTTCCTATTCTGCCAAGTTGCTACAAGAAACAGGCCTCTACGTCCAATAGCGTATCTTTAGATACGATGTAAAGTTAGTATTTTGATTTAACATATCCAGCCATACATGCAGCTGTGGACTTAGCAATTGTTAGTTTGTTTTGTGTTAAAGAACTTGGAAGACAGGCAGCTTTCACTGAATGGACGCCAGAGCCTACTCTCCAACCTTCCTTGGGCTATAATATTTCATCTTTTTATAAGCACTTATATTACTTAATTTTAATAGAAAAGTGTATTCTTAAACAAAAATATGTTTTTACTTAAGCCAATACAGAAATGATAAAAGACAAGTAGAGGCTTACATTTGTACTTCTATGTACTTCTTTCGCCCATTCCTGTGAGCACACAGGTCCCCATTCTCCATCTCTCTGCTTGAAAGTCACGGTGCAAACTTTTAAATTCATTCTTGGTTTGAATCTTTTGGCTGAATTACCTCCTCAGCATGCAGGATATTTCTACACAGTCTTCTTAACCATCTTATGACTTATTTCAGGTATGCTGGACCAAGAACACCTCTAAAAGTTGTAGTTTAGGAACTGGAACTGCCCATCCCAGGGTTACAGTAGGTGGAGGAGGCAGTTATGACATAGAATATAAAAAATATTATTATTTTAAGATACTTACGTGAAATCTAATATCCTTTTGGGGCTTAACATATGTTTTTAACAGACATTTATTTCTAAAGTGGGTGACAGGTTCTTCTGCACATGGCACTGAACGCGCATTCATATTGTGTCTGCATTTAGAGGCCTGTGTGAGGGATGTAGAAGTAAAAAAAATGAGCTGCTAATATCACAATAAATATTTATCATTTTGATTTTCTCATTCTTTACAAAAGATTAGTGTCAACCTATAGATAAACAAACACCTGTCTGCTTTTTTGACGGCCTTTTGATGTTTTTAAATTACAACCACTCTCACGCTGCATCAACACTGCAGCCAATGTTGAAGGCTCAGTAGACAGGTCAGCTTGAGTCAGGGATACCAAGTTTTTGATGGGGAGAGAAAAAAATTACCAGATGATAAATGTGTTGGCAAAAAAAACAAAAAAAACAGTAAGCTTGTGAGCTAATTATATATGCCAGTTATCTTTGTAAATCAGAACAATCTAATACCATTACTGATTTTTTTTTTGACTGCCTCACATTTTTCTTCTTTCTTTTTAAAGAAGTTAATGTATAGTCTCTTTTATGACACAAAAAAGGATTGTGTCAGGCAGCAGTTATTTTATACATTTGTTTCGAAGAATTATTTCAAGGTGGTGACAGAGAAAATGGCTCAAGTAAAGCTTGTTTATGTCAAATTGAATATGCTCTAAAAGTTGAGAACATTTTAAAATTTGCTTTAGTAAAATGTATGAATAATATTCTTCTGTTCCAAATTGCAATGACAATGTGACCGCAATCAGCTGCAGACGCTACATGAAAGAAAAGCTATGTAGCGGTTAATTGTTTTAATTTATTGTAAGAATGAAAAGGCTTAAAGCTTTGTTTTTAAGATAGTTTGTTGAATTACAGAATGTAGGAATAGGTCTCCATTAACAACAATAAATTAAAATTGCATTTATGGGGGGACTGGTCACCTTTATTATAAATAATGTAACTGTTGAATTATCTTTTTTTATTCCACTGTGTTTCTGCAGGTGTTGTTTCTACGCTACCTGGGAACTTTGTGCCCCGGCCTGTGGGGTTATGGAGTCACCGGTGAGAAAAAAGTCAGCTACTCCATCACCTGGTTTTGCTCCTGGTCTCCCTGTGCAAACTGCTCCTTCCGACTCGCTCAGTTCCTCAACCAGACCCCAAACCTGCGCCTCAGAATCTTTGTGTCCCGGCTTTATTTCTGCGACTTGGAGGACAGCCGTGAAAGAGAGGGTTTGAGAACACTGAAAAAAGCTGGAGTGCACATCACAGTCATGAGTTACAAAGGTGAGGGTTAATTTCAGAAAAACGTGGAAAAATATTTTACTCTACATTTCATGTCCTCATATCTATTCTTGGGATAATTTTTTGTCGCAAAACTCCTTCAGATTACTTCTATTGCTGGCAGACCTTTGTTGCCCGGAATCAATGCAAGTTCAAGGCTTGGGATGGGCTGCATCAAAACTACATCCGCCTATCAAGGAAACTCAACCGCATTCTTCAGGTTCTACTTTAACACACAGTGTCTATAACTAACAAATCCACATATAAAGTTTAAAAATGTCATAATGCTCTGTTCTTATTTCACAGCCCTGCGAGACAGAAGATTTAAGAGATGCCTTCAGGCTTCTTGGACTGTAAAGTATTTCCCTGAGCCCCACTGGTGCTTTCAGAACCTAAGAATTAGACGTCAGTGTTGGTCTATCACTACAGAAAACTGCAAAACTGAGAACTGAAAAAAACTGAGAAAAATAAATGCTTTAACGATGTAGCAAGGCTGATGTCGGGTAGCTTCTGCTTGCTTTTTCTATGGCTAAATGAAAATGTAAAAATAAAATAATAACAAAACAAAAAAAAAGAGGCAGTTGTGTGTTTGCTGCTCTGCACCTATCTTGGTCTTATTTTTCAATCAATTCCTGCAAAGGTTTTACCTTTTATTTGGTCCAGGATGATTCAAAATATGAAATATTAAATATGTACAATAGATAAATTAGAACAAACAGTTATGGTTGTGTTTGCAATAACAAGGTCATGTTTTCTTCTTTTTTTATTTCAGAGCAGCACCAACAGGAATAAGAAGCTGTTTTGATTGAATCTAAAACTCCAACAAGAAAACTTTAAAGTGTGACCTAGTCAAAGTTTTTAAATAAAAAAGAGATGGTATTCACTGATTTTAAATGAAAAATCAAATCAAAAAAATCAAAATCAGAATCAAAAAATGTTCAGGCTTTTGTCTCTTTTACAGTGATTTAAAAAGCTTCACTGCCATCTGATGTTTCTGATAGTTTCTGCTATGGGTCATAACATCAGCTTTTCACAGAAAGCTAAGTTGGTCTGAAAAGCATATTTCTGTCCTTAAAATTAACTCCATTCGTCTTCTACTTGTCCTTAAGAGGCATGTTAGGAACGGTGCCTATCTCTGGCAGTCTATGGAAAAAATGTGGTTTACACCCTGGACAGGTCACCAGTCAATCACAGGGAAACAGAAAGACACACAACCATGCACACACATTCTCACAGCTAATTTAGAGACACCAATTAACGCAACAGACATGTTTTTGGACTGTGGGAGGAAGTTGGAGAACCCGAACCGAACCCACTCATATAAAAGGAGAACATGCATTCCCCATGCAGAAAAACCCTGGGCAAAGAATTGGATTCAGAACCTTCTTACTGCATGACAACACAGATACAAACTTCACTACTGTGTAGCCTTATAAATCAAATAATTGTTTAAAAACAGTCCTTTGTGTTTAATCAGGTTAGTTTGCTGTATATAAAGGTTATTTCGGAATATGGAACTCTTTAATTTTAAAAGCGGCATAGAATTAATTACTATTGCTCCTTTTAATCAGTTCCTAAAAACCAGAGGTGGTTCTAGATCAAATTTACCAGGGGGCCCTGGCTGGAGTCAGTGATTTTTAATGGGGGCACAGAATATTTTACCTTGCAGCCAAGATGAATTGTCATGACATTTATGAATTCACAAACTCCTGAAAATATATCTGACCAGAAGCCAACTGATTCAATAACCTCATTAGAGAAATGTTTACGACCAATGATATGCAGTGACAAGTATGGCTTCAATGCATCATCAAGAACGGTTTCAGCTGAAATAGCTTCTATTTCTTTATGAAAATGAGCAAAAGGATTTGATTTTTGCCTTTATGGATGGGAGGATGTTTGCACGTTCCTCCCGCCTGGATTTGGTAAGAGTTTGATTTATCTGTTACAGTTGCTACTGCTGCTGTGATTGGCTTAATGATCATGGGAGGCAGGGACCGCTTGGTGATTTACCCAATCAGCTCAAAGAATTGTCCTGAATGTCCCTCCCAGTAACACTTTCTACAGGAGGATTTCCAGGTCGATACTTGTAGAATTCAACATGAAATAACGTATCACCATGGCTTACGCAAAGCTAAGAAATTAAACTGGTCTAAGAAATCAGTCAATTACAGTTTCTGTTCCAGCAAATATTATCATAGCAATCTGATTGAACATTATGTGTTCAGCACCGGGGCTACATCAGGGGTGAGGACTAATTCTACACAGGCACTGGCCCCTCTCTGGATCAGCTAATGGGAAAAACATTGTTTACTGCAGTCTTCCAACATAGGCTGGATATTATGTCTTGCATTTTCTTTGTTTTATATTTGTTTGGGTTCTTTAAAAAAAAATTCTTCTACTATTCTGTCGCTGCATTTCATGCAGATGGTGTAGCCCTCTCTCTACGAGACAAAGCTTCCTGGATGGGAAGCAAAACGTCTTCAGACTTGGAAAACGAAGTCCAGTGGTTTGGGTTTTTTTTTTTTACTTTGTTGGAATGGCTATGACCTGGATGACTGAGAATCTTCCCCAGCATACTCTCTCTATGCTACGCAAAGGCACTTGTTTCATTACTAGATACATTAACTCAGTTAAAATGAATGAAATAACTTTTATGGTACTTCTAAAAGTAAGCCAATTTTATTGTCTCTTATTTTTTCTATTAATAAACATAACAGTCAAATTTACAGTTTATGTTGGAGTGAAATTTGTTTATACACTCACAAAAATGTTTTACCCCATTTTTAAAATAAAAAAAAATCCCAATTTTAACACAAGACTATTAAATAAACCTTACGTATTAATTAGTTCAATATAGCTTATTTTTGTTAAATTTACACATTGATATCATTCAAATTTGAAAAAGTATGCTTACTCAAAAATAATATGAGACGTATTTTTTTTATTAAATACACAACAATTATGTTTGAATTACAATCAACTTTATGTAGTTTAAATAAATGCTCTCTTTAATATTAATTTTTAGCTGGTATACTTTATGAATTCTAAATACATAAACCTGACGTGATTATGTATTTTGAATAAACAGCTTCATTATACAAATGAGAATGCATCACGTAAGATTTATTGAAAGGTTTGTGTTAAAATTATCTAACACAAATAAATGGGAATTTGTTATGTAATAAAAATTATGTACATAGACGTTGTTGTAGTGTTAGTTATTTTGTATTTTGAACCAAATTGGTGAGTGTGTTTATTTTCCTTTCATGTCATTAATCTTATTCTTAAAAAAAGTAAAGTGCGTATTTATGAATTAATATTTTGCTCTTTCCGGTGACATCATTTTGCCCATCTTTGGTGACCGTGCTACGCTGGCAGAGCGCAGGGTCGCCTTAAATTGCTGTGCGCAGCTACACCGGATATTACGTGTACGCCGCCGTTAACTCTGAACGGACAACCGCCGTCACCGCCAGCACAACAACCACCACCGGGGCGAACCGTGTAACAGTCAAGATGGCGTCCGAGGGTCAGCTTGACTACGAGTCAGTTCTGTGTATCAAACCCGAAGTGAACGTTTACCGTATCCCACCGAGAGCATCCAACCGGGCTGTCAGGTGAGCTGCGAGGGGGAAGAGATGTGGCTGCAGGCCCAGCATCCGTCAGCTGTGGGGAGCTGAACAGAGTAACGGGATTATTATGGAGGTCATAGCTAGTCCGCTGGTTCTTTTCGTAGTTATATGTATACAAGGTCATAACCGACCCATAACTATTAAAACCTAAGATGGGAAAACATCTTATCTTTGCACTGGGGACTGATTTATGTTAAATCAGTTAAATGTTATAGTGTTTTGCCAATATTTCAGTTATTTGGGGAGTATAATTGTCTGTCTGACCAAATCAATAAATCATTGTGGAGATCTGGTTCAAGGGCAATTCCCAGGGCATCCTAATGCCACTGATTTAGTGTAAGATGGTCCAAATGAAATAAAGGTGGACATAATTTTATTTTTCGGCTTTAATGACTGGCAGCTAGGTTATTTACCGCTTATTTATGTAGCTGGTGTGGAAACAAACCCCAAACAGCTGCTTCAGAGTCCCATCATCCCTGGTAAACATTTACAAGTATATGTATGGGGACTCCTGACGATCTGTGCCTACCTGCATCTTACAACTGTGTGTGTGTGTATCTCAGGGCTGCTGATTGGAAGCTGGATGCCCCTGATTGGACGGGACGCATGCGCGTGACGGCTCGAGGAAAAGTAGCCTATGTGAAATTGGAGGACAAAGTGTCCGGTGAGAAAAGCAGACAGGACAGCGCTGATGTTTACTGCCACAGCTGTAAATCACTTCACTACTCCACTGTGTATAGTCTCCTGCTTCGCCACCCGCTCTTGGTTACTCATCTTATCCAAGGTTACACAGACTGTGACCAGGCAGGCGGTTTATGCTGAAATATAAAAAAAAGCTTCATCTTTGAATATGTCTCTTTCTTTTAGTTTGGTCTAAAGGTCAAACCCCTAGAAATTAACATTTGGTAGCCTCACATCCCTAACGTTCTGTTTGGATTTCTATACATTTGTTTGGACTGTAAATCTTAAATCAGCAAAAAGTAGATCGCAATTCTGAAGTGGAGGGAAAAAGATTCTGTGCTTTTTACCAGGTCTATTTTTTTTAAACAGCTCAGACCCAAAGTGACTTAACATTTTTCAAGCTGACAAAAAACTACATCTGGCTCTTTGATCTAAGGAAATCTATTGAAACACTGACTGTATATTTGTAGTTCTTTAATCTTTGTCTCAGATCTTTTGGATCCTGTCATGTCTTTTGGTCCGTCTATCTTTCCCTGATCTTTGGTCCATTTCATTGTTCATACAGAAGAAGTTCATCTCCATGGTATGATATTACTGTCAACATGGGAATGATGTTTTCAGAGAGATGCTTGCATCTTGACCAAATAGTCCTTCGTTTTGTCTTTTTCATATCAGAGCACATTCTATTTCATTCTTTCTGCATCCTCAGCATTATTCCAGATGGGACAGATTGGTGGAATGGAAAACATATAGTTGTTCTGTCCACTGATTCTGCCATCTGAGCGGTAAATCAGTCCAGCTCCTCCAGAGTTACCACGGGCCTCTTGGCTGCTTCTCTGGTTACTGTCAGTTTCAGTGTTCACGTCTTGGTAGGTTTGCGATGGTGCCACACTTTTTCCATTTTCAGATGATGGACTGAAGGGTGCATCAAAGCTTGGGTTTTGTTTTATAACCTAACCCTGCTTTAAACATCATATGTTTCTCCCTGACCTCTCTGCCGTGTTTCCTTGTCCTCATGCTGCTGTTTATTTACCCATGTTGCCTAACAAACCTCTGAGGCCTTCACAGAACAGATTGATTTATACTGAGATTACATTACAAACAGATGGACTTTCTTTTCTGATTAAGCCAGTTTGTTGCAGTGGATTTGCGTCGTTTTTTGATTCATGGCGCATTTTTCATTTCTTATTTTGTATCGACATCTTCCTCTATGATATTACTCTACTTTGTCTTTATCCCATGCATCCTTATCAAAGTCTATAAGGTTGTGATGATAATAGGAAAAAATGTAGAAAATCGATCAAAAGTGTATGAATACTCTTCCAAAAATAGTTCAGTTGCTCTCTTGTTGTTTGTATCCCATTTCAGTTGGGCTTGACATCCTGACATGTTTTTATTATGACCGTGCAGGGGAGCTGTTTGCTCAGGCACCAGTGGAGGAATACCCTGGCATTGCAGTAGAGACAGTCAGTGACTCAAGCCGTTACTTTGTGCTTCGGATTCAGGATGACAACGGTGAGTAAACTGTTTATCGCACGTCTATAAATATTTGAACCATCTTATAATTTTAGAAAACAAGGTCTATGAACTCAGTCGGTGTGGATTTGTACAACACTGCATTCTCCTAAGTTGGTGTGCAGTGTTCTGGAACAACACGGGAAGCAAAACAAGGGGAAAACAAAAGCAACATTTCTGCAAACCTAGATATTAAGGACATCTCCTGTCCATCTGGCTCTTCTCAGTTTTTTTTTTTTTTTTTACTCTTGCAAGGCTATTCCAAAACATTAGCTTTTTATTTTTATTTTAGACAGATGCTTTTCTTTTGTTGATTCTAATGAATGCTTAGTCTCATTGTAAAGCTAGCAAATTAAACCTTTTAGTTTTCTAGCAAGCAAATTACTGGGTTCTGGATCAGTTGGGTCCAACGGTTCTGAATCAACACTGACAAAAAACAGATCTTTTATCCTTTTATCTAGATCCCCATCTGAAGGAAAGTAACCCCACAGCATGATGCTGCATCCAATGTTCCACTGGCACTACACAGTCTGTTGTAGGTGTTTGTCTTTTTTGGGGCAAACATGAAAACATTACACCCATAGGTGGAACATATGTTTCTGTAGCTCATTCAATGTTGTCGTTCTTCTTATAGAAGTCATCCAAACCAAATTACTGTTTTTTTCTTTCTTGAAATATGTAAATTTTCTGTGACAATTCTTTCTTTATATGCTATGCTGTGGAAGATATTTTTATTTCTTTTAACTCTTCTCCTGCAAGCATGTAGAAACATGGGATTTTCCAATAAACCTACTCAGCTGAACTTTACTCATCAGATTCCCCTTGTTTAATTAGACGTCAATACTCAAAACAGACTGATAATCAAAAGATGCTTCAGCAAAGTATTTACCTTAATTTATAAGCAAGCAACTGGTGAATAAATAAAAAAAAAAGAATAACTTGGTGATTTAATTTATACAAGATGTGAAGTGTAAGAGAAATCTGAGTCGAGGACAGCACCTGTTAGTTGACTTCCTGTTTCTGCTCGCTAAAGCATTGCAAGTTCAGTGAGGCCCTCCATCCTCACCATGTCTGTCTTTCATGATATACTTGAACTACAGTTACCATGGATAGAATCTCATCATACTAAATGATACAAATCCAACGTTTTAAAGGTTTATATTAATCATTGAGGGTAAATATCAGATAAATGTAAAACTTGGGGGAAAAAAGGCTGAAAATACTTAACCCTGAAAATTAGCATGTGCTCACATTTTATATTTGATGTAACTTCCTACATTTCTGTTTGTTTTGGTGTTCTATGCTTAACGTTTTTATCTACCTTTATATGCTGGAAGGTCGCAGTGCTTTCATAGGCATCGGGTTTGGGGACCGAGGTGATTCATTCGACTTCAATGTGGCGCTTCAGGATCACTTTAAGTAAGCAGCAGCTCAGCAATGTGGAACTGTAACCATTTCAGCTATGAATGATTACTTTTTAGTGATGTTATTTTTCTGTCTTTCTTTTTTGTCTATTTTTAGGTGGGTAAAACAAGAAAAGGAGTTTACCAAACAGGCTCAGGCTCCAGACTCTGCTCCTAAACTAGATCTAGGCTTCAAAGAGGGACAAACCATTACTTTAAACATTGGGGTACCTTCACTTTTTATGCGTTATGATTAAGTTTGAAAGGTCCAAACTTTGTTTACAGTGGTGTGTTTTTTTGATGTTTTGTTTTGCATTACTTTTCAAAAAAGTGATGCTTTATAAATAGGTTTCCATCTAAAACTCAAATGGGTTTCTTGTTTATCTTTGGAGGCTTTTGAAATCCATACTACTACGAACGTACATTAACACCATCCATGAATCATGTCATTATCTAGCAATCGAAGAAAAAGGACCGGTCTCGTCCGCAGAGTTCAGGTGGCCTTGGTTTCCTTCCCCCTCCACCTGGAGGCAAGCTTGCCCCGCCACCTTCATCCAGAACTACCAACCTTAACACGCAGCCAGCAGCAGGGGGAGCCGACACTGGTGGGTATTTATTCTCCTAAAGCATGACAACTCAGAGAGGCAATCCTAAAGGGCGTTTAGTTAACAAAAATTCCATGTACAACAATCTCAAAGTGGTTCCTTGTGTTTCTTTGTAGTTTTGTTCAAAACATTTTTAATAATTTGGGGAAAACATCCTTACAGGCTGTTGCACATTGTTCTTCATAATTACCGGCACCTCATATTAAAAGTTATGTAAAGCATTTGGATTTTATACCAGTAGTAAAATTTCACACTGAAAAAAAAGCTGTACTTTAAGTACTTTTTTCAGTAGGGTAAAAATGTCAATCTTGGCTAATACTTACTTTAGCAAAAGCATCGGACACCTATTCTCATCCCCAAACAATCCTTCAAAATCAATATACCTAAACAAGATTTTTTATTCTTTCATTTACATCTTTAAGTGATTGGGATTTATTTCAGGGGGATATTAACAGTGATTATAAATAGGCTATATTTACAATCTGAGGAAATGTTTTAATTCAGTTTAGTTTATTTATATAGCCCAATTCACAATATATGTCATCTCAAGGCACTTTACAGAGACAATTCAACCAGGTCATACAGTCAAATTGGTTCAAAGTTTTCGATCTAAGGAAAACCAGCTGATTGCATGGACTCATTTACTCGAAAGCAATCCATCACATCAAGCATGCTTGTAGTGACATTGGAGAGGAAACTCCCTTTTGACAGAAAGAAACCTCCAGCAGATCCAAGCTCTTTGTGAGCGGCCATCTGCCGAGGCCGACTGGGTTTCAAGAAGACAGAAGCAGAGATACAAAAGGCAACCGTTAACCGCACATCTCCAGCTCCAACATTTAAAAACAAAGGTGTTGAAGGCAGCTGCATAGCTAATATGTCTCTCCAGGATGGTGTCACAGCCAAACAGAAACAGAGCGTATGAAGCTACTATAAAAAAAAGAGACACCATAACGTTACAGATTGAACTCGTCTGTTCCTGTTTGGCTGTGACGTCATCCTGGAAAGAAACATCAGCTGTGCTACTTCCATCAACACCCTTGTTTATAGATGTTGGAGATCGGCCTGTTTTCCAGTGTGGTCCTGTTTCTCTGACCGTGACTGAGTGGATGTGCTCTCTTCGTCCTCTGGCATGGGAGCTGGCTCGGAGCTCGTCTGCCTGGCTGTGTGTTTCCTGGACGGGGCCGCCTTTTACAGCTGCTTTTTGTATCTCTGCTTCTGTCTCCTTTAACCCCAGTCGGCCTCGGCAGATGGCCGCTCACACTGAGCCTGGTTCTGCTGGAGGTTTCTTCCTGTTAAAAGGGAGTTTTTCCTCTCCACTGTCGCTACAAGCATGCTTAGTGTGAGGGATTGTATTTGAGTCAATGAGTCAATGCAATCAACTTGTTTTCCTTAGATAGAAAACTTTGTATCAATTTGACTGTATGATCTGGTTGAACTGTAAAGTGCCTTGAGATGACATGTGTTGTGAATTTGGCGCTATATAAATAAACTGAATTGAATTGAATTGAACTAACAAATACTACAGAGTGGGAGAATAGAGATGGAATGATGAAAAGGGGTCCCTATGTCCTCCAGCAGTCTAAGCCTATAGCAGCATAGTGATAGAGATACCTCAGGATAACCTGAGCCACTCTTAACTTTAGGTTTTATCAAAAATAAAAGTTTTAAGCCTCTCCTAAAAGTAGACAGGGTGTCTGCATCACGGACTAAAACCGGTAGTTGGTTCCACAGGAGAGGAGCCTGATAAATAAAAGATCTGCCTCCCATTCTACTTTTAGAAATACTAGGAACCACTAATAAACCTGCAGATTGAGAGCAAAGTGCTCTGTTAGGGATGTAAGGAATGATCAGATACCTTTTATATTTCTTTAGAACTCTGGCTGCAACATCTTGGATCAGCTAAAGGTTTTTAACTACAGTTTGCGGACTTTGTGATTGTAAGGAATTACAGTAGTCCAGCCTTGAAGTAAAAACTATCTGTAAAAAAGAATCTCATCCATACTCTCAGGTACAGTGGAGGAAATGTGATGCCAGTTAATTTCAATTAAAGATCAAGAAAATGGAACATTGTTGGGTGCTTCCTTAGGTAATGATGCAAATGAACACAGATATGTCTCACGTAAAATCAGTCTTCTGACATGGCTGTTAAAGCTACCATATCTAAATCCTAGAGAAAGTGACTATCTTTAGACACAATATTAAGAGGATTGGTCAAACAATCCTCTCTATGAATGTTCTAACATGATCCAATGTGAAATATTGACAGGAAGGACGCCAATAGGTGTTTAACTCTGGTGACCTTGTAGCTTAGGTCTGGGTTCTGCAACCTGCAGCTCCAGACCAACATGTTGATCTTTGACTACTTTGCAGTTGGTCCTGGCAAATATGACCCCAATAATTATAGAAACAAAGGATTGTTTAAAATAAAATTTACCCTCAGAACTAAATAAAATTTATATTTCACCATGGTTCCTTAAGCTAATTCAATATTCTACAACTTAAGCATTTGATATGGGGTGTAACTAGTTTTTGATAATTTACCATGATAGAAAAAATACTCACTTGACCCAAAAAAGAAACACCTTTAGATCTTTTTTAAACTGTTCTAAAGATGACATTATAACATTAATTTTAAATTAAACAACTCCTTACATGAATAAATGTCCTGAGGTATGAGAAGTTATCTAATTATAAATTTTCCTAATAGATCCTGGTGCTTCTGACAGATTTTCTTTAAAGGGGACAGGGACAAAAAAGGCCCACTGGGCTTTAGAGGTTACCGACTCTTAGCCTTTCAAATGGCTGTAAAGGAAAGTTGGGCCTCTCTCTACAGTCAATTAGATCTGAATGTCGTCACATTGGAGGGTTTTCCAACCCTATAGTGGATGTGTTGGAGCAGCTTTGCTCCAGAAAAACAAAATTAAACTCAAATTTCCTCTGTTACTTAATCAAATGTTTTAACTGCTGCAGCACTTATAAAGAAAACAAGATGACATAGTCAGAAAATAGGGGAAAGGTTGGGTGACCAGGGAGGAGAAACAAAAATACTTCTTTATCATGCTGATTTATTTTCACCAGTCTACAAATGTGTTTAAATCAAAGTCAGGATCTTAAGGCTTTTCACAAATCTTGTCACCACATTTGCCATTTATGTTCAGTTCACCTCACTTAAAAGTGATTAAATATGCCTCATAAATCGTCTAATACTTCAGTATTTTACAGCTTGCAGCTCTGTTTCCACATTGTGAAGCAGAGGTATATGGGAGTGATTATATAAATGGGTGTAGCACTTCAAAATACAGCCTGATATAAAAACTTTATTTTCTTTTCTTGTTTTGCTTCATTTCCTGTGGAGCACTTGCACCTACAGCCTTCAGTACCATAGAAACGGTAAAGGCTGACCCACAGGAGGATCAACCAAAAAAGACTGATGTGTGAATGGATAAATAACAAAATGTTTGGAATCTGAATTTAATAAGTAGTGTCGTCTGTCACATGTGTTCGGGTCTTTTGAAGCACAGCTGCATCGGTACCAAAATCACAGTTTCGAGGCCAAGCTTTTTTCTCTGGTTTTGATGTGCCAAGATTTAAAGATGCCTCTCCTTAGAGAAATCTGCAGCCATCTGAATGTAATTAAAGTGAATGGAATTTTGGTTTTGGTACTCGAGACATTTGAAATATTCAACAGAACCCGGAGGACCTTTTCCTTATCAAAGATTTCCGTGCTGCAGAAAACAGCTTCTAATATGGTGTGCGGTTGCTTTTTTTTTTCCAGTATAAAGTGGAAAACTTTCCAAGTGCAGGGACTCATAGCTTCTAAGCTCCAAAGTTGGATTAATCTTTGTTGTGTTTGGGTGGTGGCTAGGATCTTAAAAGCTATGCACATTAACAAGTAAAAACCCTAACCCATTGAGGGAAGTGGTTTAGATACAGAAAAAGTATTCATATCCATTAAACTTTAACTTTAACTTTTTATGTTAAAAGAACCTGTCAGTGTATTTTAGAGCCAACTGATACACCAATAAAAAGTATCTGATATTTGTAGAACCTGATTTTCAACATTTCTGTCTCAAAAGGAAATCTATAGTGTGCATTTCTATTTAGCCCAGAGTGAATACTTTTCTAGACGCCTTTTAAGGCCTTCACAGAACCTCATCTCCACTGTTAGTTCAAATAATAAGATGTTGCTGGTGGTTGTAATAGGAAAAAGTTAAATGTTTTTATTATTTAGTAAAAAAAAAAAAAAACACTTTTTAAATATAATTTCTTTCCCCAATTTTTTCCTTTGCCACTGGCCTACAGGACAACAGATAAAAACTAGCCTTTGGCTAACTCTGAAATGTTACAGGTGTGCTGTTGTGTTGGATTGATGTAAATAAGAATAAAATAAGGCAGAAAATGTGTTTATTTCTGGAGCTAATGTCCATTTTTTTGTTTCTTTAATATCCCCAGGTTGCTTGCTAGATCTTGACTCCAGTAACTCCAACTCAGTGTCTCCATCAAACCCGACGTCGACAGCCAACAATGACCTGTGGGGAGACTTTGACTCTGTGACCCAGAAGTGAGGAGTTGTCAGTCCTGCTCTTTGCTTTTTTTTTTTTTTTTTTTACTGTAAAATTATGCAGCACTTTTTGCAAGTTGGTTTTCCCCAGCCTGGGGTCCTGTATCTCTCCCTGCCGAGCAGGGTAATCTTCCCTTGTTTGGTTCGCTCCTGAATTCCTCGCTGCAGTCTTAAGCAGGCCATTTTAATAGATTTTTGTGGTTGATATAGATTTTACCCCCTGTTACTTCCAGTAGTTTTTTTTTGCTTTTTAGTAAAGATAATAGGAATATCAAGGAAGGCATATCGACATCTAATTACCTGAAGTAACCTTGTATATGGAGAATTTTTCTTTAAACATTATAGTGCCAGTATTGTAGTTGTCATTGGTGGTTTTGCTTTAATGTATTGTAGCTTGATTCTTTTCCAGGTCTCCAGCTGTGGGACGGAATATATGCACTGAATAACAGCTGACTCTTTATGTGTAGTTATTGATTCATAAAAATGTGCATCCAATGGAGGGATCTTCTAAGGTTGGATTGAGATTATTGAAAAGTTTATCACAGAATGGATTCGCTTGAGAGAGCTCTGTCAATCCGCTGCTGATTTACGGTGTGGTCTTTGTATCCTGCGCTCCCCGCTCCGCTCTTGCGGCCGTGCAGCTGTTAAACACCAACTCCAGTGGGGATGCGTTGTTTTAGCTATAAATCAAGATGCAGGGGAAGTGCTGGGTGGGAGGGGGTGTTAGGAAAAGGAACAGAGGCAATGTATACTTTTATTTTCGCCCTCGAGGGGAAAGAGATTATTTTTCAATGTTATGTCATTTCCATTAAGCACAGCTGGTGAAGCTGTGACTTTCAAGTCATGACCTCTCTAAAGTTCGTCAACAGGTCTGATTCTGACCAGTTTAGTCAGTACAGGGAAGGAGTTACCACAGAGGGTTCATTCTATTTAAATGTAAAGGTATTTACGCAGGGCTGCAGGAAAAACAGCATAAAGAACCAAGCTAATGTGTCTTTAGCAGTGTTTGGTTGTGAAACTGAGCTGGACTATGTTTCTCTAAAATCACAAGTATTGTGTCTGATGTGCAATGACAAGTGGCGTGGTGATGGGCGTACACCGGAGCGCACCATAAATGTGTTTGTCTAAATTATATGTATTTATCATAAATGTTACCTGTTGTTTAAACTGTAAAGTGTATAAAATGAATATGCAAAGGAGTAAAATAAAAAACAGAAATAAAAGCCATTATAACCACAGCATTCTTTTCTTAAATGAACAAATCCAAGTGTTTTTTTTTTAAGTGTGTGATTTATTGCTTAAACTTTTGTTCATATGACTGGATTGTCAGTAAGTACCTTTACAGTCACAAGTTTTACTTAGTTTTATCTAACATAAAATGACTCAAGCAGTTGCAGGCCCATTACTACAGTACCTTCAAAGGAATATAAACTACAGAAACCCCAAAAGACTCATTAAAAGCATCTCTAGCATTCACAGAAAATGAAAAGGTTCATACATGAGTAAATGATTCATACACGATTGAGCACTCATGACTGTACGAGAGACAGGAAAGAGAGACGGGGAAGAAAAAAAAAAAGGATCCCAGCCACTGAGCACTGCATTTATAGTTTTGTGACCCTCCCTGGATGCATAATCCTCGCCGACAGAAAGTCACCTATATGGGCTCCATCAGGCCTTGTTTGCCCAGGTTTTGGGGTTGTTTCGACGACTGCGGCAGCGCTTTCCAGAAGAAGACCTTGCAATACGTCTGGGCCACCCAGACAACTCTCTGCACAGTTCAGCTGTTAAAAAACAAACAGACAGGGTTTTATATACTGGATACTGTTATGTCAAATAATACATGGAAGTGGAAATCTAAATCAGTCTTTTGTTTTTCTTTAATAAGTGCAATTTTTTCTTAAATTGAGGAAGTAACTGAGACACTTTGCCAATGGAACAAGACAATTTACATTTAAAATAAGAAAAAACAGCTGCATTGTCTTATTTCAAGTCCATATTACCTAATTATCCTATTTTAAGAGTAAAAAAACTAATTCCATTGGCAAATCGTCTAATTTACCTTCTCAAATTAAGGGTTCATACACTTAAAGTCATTTTTTTTTTTATTTCTAGAGTCTTTAAAAGTTGCAGAATTTGTTTTTAGTGTTTTCCAGGTCTGGAAAATAATCTATTTAAGAATTTAGGCTTAATTCCCTAACAGGTTGTCAAAAGTTATTCACTGTTTTTTGTTTCTTCTCTAATATTCTTCCTTTTTCTTGCTTTTTACTTGTTAGAATGTTAAATTAAAAATACTTTAAAAGAAGATTGTCTTACCTTTCAGATATTCCTCCTCCTGGCACACTGTCCTCATGCAGATCTCATTGTTGATCACATATATGCGTGGAAGGCTATCTCAGCATCATAATGAAACATAAACACAGTGTTTAGTTTGAAAAGTGTCTGACAGCTTTGACAGTATCTGGAAATTGTATGCATAATTTCCAATATAGTTTTACAATGAATAAAATCGTCAGAGCAAAGCTAAACGTTGCCCTGTGATCTAACATTTTAAGAAACACTCACTAGCCACTTCATTAAGTACACCTGTTCAAACGCTTGTTTACACAAATCAGGAGATAAATGCATTTAGGAATCTAGAAATGGTAAATATTTAAGTGACTTTAAATGTGGTAGTTGGTGGCAGAGAGGCTGTATGCAGTACTTTAGAAACTGCGGATCTACTGGGATTTTCACAAAAATCAACTTGGTGTCAGTTGTATTGTATTGACATATACATCCTACTAGTGTCAGAGTGGAATGGATGGACTGGTTCCTGATGATTATGATACAACAGATGTGCAAATAGCCGCTTACTGAAACCAAGCTGAGGAGAAAACTGTCTCTGAATGTGAAACATATCAAAGCAGGAAGCTTATTGACAGCAGAAGACCAGACCATGTGAGACTCATGTCAGCTAAGAATATGAAACTGAGGGGACGATCCATGCTGTTTGTCTCTTCAACATTCTTATGGTAAAACTGGAAAAGGTATAATCAGCTTGCTGGTGATAGTATAATGGTATGGGAGATATTTTTTTGGCACAGTAAAGGCTCTTCAGCTCTAATGAGGCGTCATTTAAACACCACAGCCTGCCTGAGTTTAACTCCAATTTCCATTTTCATTACAACTGCTCTACACTGTAGGAGAATGCACTGTGAATCAAAACTTAAATCACATCTAACTGTTGTTTTTTGACGTGTTAAAGAGTGCAGTAGTTAGAGGAAACATCTAGTTGCAGTTATAATGGTAAACTGGGTCACCCCTGAGACTGATACAGAACCAAAGGAAATGCTCTCAGGAAAAATATGTTTTTTTCAGTTTCCTGCAAACAGTGTGCCCATAAATTAAATGTAAATATGTCAAGCTAATGTTCCTATAAATTCATAAAAAGCCAAAACATTATTTCAGTACAATAGAAAACTTTTAGACCACAATATCTTTAAGTTTATCTTCCACACTGCTATGCCTTCTTATAATCTCTAAGTGTCTTAATAAAGGGCTCTCCATACTTTAAACAAGGGCATATAACATTTTATTTCAGTTTTGGCTGCCTTTCCACTTTTATTTCCAAAGGTCAGTCAAAAACAAAGCACCAACACAGAAGCTGAGTCTACCAAGCTCATTGATACAGAAAAAAGTTGAATGTGTCAAACTGTTATATTTAGTTTTTTTCTTGAATCAAACAGGAATCTATTTTGGTGAAAGGCCTTTTGTAGCTTTATCCAGACTCAGACTAGAAACATTTTATCTAATGAACACTTCAAATGTCAGATTTATATACAACAAGGGAAAAAAAGAGAGAAATGCACCTACAGGCTGAGAATAACACCTTGATGTACCTTTAGAAGGCTGAGAAATATCAATTGAGACTGCTTTATAAGATAGCATGAACATCTGGGTGCCTGGAACCCATATATAAAGATATTAGTGAGGACTAAAGCAACTTTGAGAACTTCTTGAAATGAAACTGTTGCCAAAAGGGGAATTTTAGATCACCTGTAGAGACAAAGTCTGCCAAGACATGTCTTGATGGGTCTGTGTACTGAGTACATCCTGGTGCAAGGATACATCTCCTCCCTGCAATCTGTGCGAAAATAAATAAAATCAGACTAAAAAGGACAACAACATGTCTAAAGGCAAGGCAGTGTGGGCTAGGATTTTATTATATTTAAAATAACCAATGTATTTTCTAAGAAAATGAAGAAACATGGGATTAGAGAAGTTCATGAAAACAATAGAAACAAGCATTATATTAAGAAAAAAAAACACATAATGCTAATTGATCATTGGTAAATAGCAGACGTGTGCATACATTAATTAACTGAGAGCAAAAACAACGCTGAATTCTTTTTTTATGAAGAAGCGATTAAAAAAAATTTCAATTATGGTTCTAAAAATTAACTTTTAAAATTATCTAAAGCATTTACTGGAAATTTCAGACAAAAACTGAGAAATGTGTTCTGCAAAATGATTCAGACCCCTTGAGTTAATACTTTGTTGCGCAACCTTGTGCTGTGATTACGGCTGCAAGTCGCTTTGGCTGTGTCTGCATCTGTTTTGCACATCGAGAGACGGACATTTTTGCCTATTTTTCCTTGCAAAACAGCTAGAGCTCAGTGAGGTTGGATGGAGAGTTTCAGTTCTTTCCACAGATTCTCGAATGGATTTAGGTCTGGACTTTGACTAGGCCATTCTAATAACTGGAAATGTTTATTTCTGAACCATTCCATTGTAGATTTTACTTTGTTTTGGATCATTGTCTTGTTAGAAGATAAATCTCTGCCCTCTTTTGCAGACTCCAACAGGTTTCCTTCCAGAATTTTCCTGCATTTGGCCTCATCCATCCTCCCATCAGTTTTAACCATCTTCCCTGTCCCTGCTGAAGAAAAGCAGGCCCAAACCATGATGCTGCCACCACCGTGTTTGACAGCAGGCATGGTGTTTTCAGGGTGATGAGATGTATTGCTTTTAACCAAACATTTGCACAGTTGCCAAAAAGTTTGATTTGGGTTTCATCTGACCAGAGCACCTCCTTCCACATGTTTGCTGTGTCTCCCAGATGGCTTTTGACACACTTTAAACAAGACTTTTTAATGGATATCTACATAAGAAATGTTTTTCTTCCATAAAGGCCAGATTTGTGCAATATACCACTGATTTTTTTCCTATGAACAGAGTCTCCCACCTCAGCTGTAGATCTCTGCAATGGACCTCTTTGCTGCATCTCTGATCATTCTTATCCTGGTTTGAGCTGAAAGTTTGGAATGATGTCCAGGTCTTTGCAGATTTGCAGCAGTCTGATATGCCCTCCATTTCAATATTATGGCTTGCACAGTGCTCCTTGGGATGTTTAAAGTTTGGAAAATCTTTTCGTATCCAAATCTGACTTTTAAACTTCTCCACACCTGCCTGCTGTGTTCCTTGTTCTTCATGATGCTCTCTGTGCTTTTAACAGACATATGAGACTATCACAGAGCAGGTGCATTAACACATAGGTGGATTCTATTTATCAGATCCCACCTAAATTTCTGCACTAAAGCTAAAGGGGCCGATTCATTTTGCATGCTGCCCTTCTTCAGATTTCTTTTTTCTTTTTTAAGTTTAAAATATCCAATTATATTTCGTCCCACTTCACGATTGTGTCTCACTTGTTGATTCTTCACAAAAATGAGCAATTTTATATCTTTATGTCTGAAGGTTGAAATTTTTAAGGAGGCAGAATACTTTTGCACTGTACTCTATATAAGCCTTAATTTTTTCTGTACAATAAACCCTTAATGCTGGCTTACTTTTTAAATATACCTTATAAGAGACTGTGGATGTTTATGTCTGAGTCCATAGGATCAATTTGGTTTCTGGAAGCCCTATTAGTAGTTAATTTCACTAAATGTGATGGTTGACCTCTTATCATGCATTTTTGTGGCCAGTTACAAAAAGCTTAACAAAGTTCTGACCCATCGCTTTTTCATATAAGGTCATGGTGTATGTACGAGATTTGGTTCATGGTGGGGACATAGTATCATAAATTAGAATCATAAATTATGATACAGTAAATTAATGTAAGAACTGTAAATATACAGTCATATGTTTTTATTACTATTTTTTTATGTATTTATTACTGTTATAAAGGCTGCTGTTTAAAAAAAATGTCTTTTTGTTTACACTTGTGTATACAAAATGACAAATAAATAAAATAAATCTAAGTATATGGGAAGAGATGTAATATTTCAAAGTATAAACTATATTGACGTGTTATAATGTTGATATTTAATGCAAGCGTCCCAAGAATAAAGCCCTGAGGAGCTTCACACACCATTTTTATGTACACAGATGCCAAATTTCTTCATATCACATTTACCTCTGTACAAGGCACTTTCAATAGTTTATTTCATAGCATGTGCATTTAGCTATGGGTAAATTTATCAGTGACAAGGAAGAGAGAGTTAGCACTAGAGTCTGGGCCTTTTAATCAGGTGACCAGGCTTAGATTATTGTTGATCCAGTTCTATTTGCAGAACCAGAGCGCCTTAAACACCTTGTTCAGTCTATGAATCAGTATGTTGTTAGTTTCAAACCACTGAGGTTTGGTTTGATCCTGAGAACTTTTATCTCTACAGTCTAGGTGATGATGAAAATATGACTAGATGCCACTGAAGAGATTTTTTTAAATCAAATGTGTCAATTTGATGGTAAACTGGCTTTCAAACCGTCTTTTTGATAAGTAATAGGTTTGATTTTGGCTCAAAAATACTTATTTTTAAAACATCAGGTTTAAGCTTCCCTAAAGAAGAGATCAGAGGCCCAACCTTCAATCACTTACTAGATGGTAATGCGGTACTCTCAAGTGGTTCTGAAAACAAGGAAAGAAAACAGGTTTAGACATTGAAAACATCCTACAGCTGAGAGATTTTACTTGTCTGGATCAAGAGTGTGACTTATGAGGAAAAGGTCGTTACCGGTCTGCTGGGCTTGGACTACAGCTGTAAGTGCTGTGGAACAGAAACCAAAGGAGGGAAATGTTTCACAGGATGCGAAAACAAACACGCGTCGACTCAGCCGTTATTAAACAGGATGATTAGTGTGTTCGTTTTGGCAGAATTTACCGTGGAAAACGCAGAGGAGCAGGACCACTGGGAAGCTGCCCATTCCTTAAACTTGTGAGAGGTGAGCTTTACAAGCTGGAGGAAGAGGAAAAGTGTCAGGATGATTTCACATGGTGGAACTACTCAATATCCTCACTATGATGTTTATGTTTCCTCCAATTCCAGTCTTGTGTGAATGCTCCCCACATTCTGAGCCACGGTAATGTTTTCCTTGAAGGCTTTCCTTTGGCAAAAAACACAGATGTGCTGCAGAGAGCCATGTTTTTGGAAGTTATCATAGCTGTAAAAGTGCCTGATGTCATTTTCCTACATTTATTTAATCTGGTATTTATTGGAGGCTTGTAAACAGCCTGATAAAGTAGCAGTGGAGCAGCTAAAGAAAACACCTCACCTCTTTAAATGTATTTTTCCTTCTTTGCTTGACTCCTCGATCTGCTTTCCTCCCTCCCTCCTCTCTCGTCTAGCATCATTCCATGTGCAATGTGTCAGAGGAACTTTTGAGTCCAAGTTGTGAGTCTTCTCAGAAGAATGTGATATTTTTTTTCTTTTGTGTGCCCTGTTTGAGCGCCCCACCACCCCTCCTCTTCTACAGTCTCACATTCTTTCCCAGCTTCCTTTCTTTTCAGAAAACATGTCACTGCTTCCCAACTTTACTGTCGTTACGCGCCAATCTCAGCAGGACATTTTTTAAACTCATTTCTCTGCAGCATTTTGGCTGTTGTAGAACCCTATTTTTCATCTTTGCATTTTTGAGCATTGCAATTGATCATACATAGCACAGCTTAAATGTCTGCGAAAAAGGGTACAAGACAAGCCTTCTCCTAATACTGTTTTGCTCCTAAAAAAAACAGATGGATAACTCTTCCAGTCAATGTTTTCGGTAATCTGATGATGCTGCTGAGTGTGTTTTTCCTGCATAATGTGAAAGATATTTTTGTGGAAAAATAGTTAACTCATACTCACAACTTTTGCTGTCCTCCACAACTGCTTTCTGTTTTTATGGATCTTTTGTCTTCTCCACTCTCCCCTCCTTCCATCTCCTTCACCCTCCTCCTCTTCACTTTCTCCTCCTACTCCTTCACATCAAAAGAATCAAGTTTTCATATTTTTTGCACCACAGTCTCATTATAACTTAAAGCTTTGAGTTTTTTAATCTTTATATGGTTCCAGCAACTTTCTCACATCCCTCAAAAATATATTATATGACATATTGAGCCTTTTTTTTTATGCCTTCTGCTTTAGGCCAATTATAATTAGCAAAACTGCAAAAACTCGAAATGCAGATTTTTTTTAAGGTAAATTAAACATGGACTTTTCAGATTTAAAGAGTCCAATCTAAATGAAGCATTCAATTTCTCAGTTTTTGGGAGAACAAGGTTTAACTAGAAATTGTTTTAGATGCTGTGGATGTGCTTTTAGTATTTTACAGCGTGTGGAACAGCTGAGGTGGAATGAAGGCATGGAATCTGAGATTAATTAACAGAGGAATTACCTCTAAACATAAGAAAAGATCAACAGAGATCTAAAAGAAATACATCAGAAAAGGTACAAAAAGAATAAAGACAAAGACCATTCATTCCTTCTGATAACTCAATGCTACCACATGCATGTTTTTAGCTGGTTTTGTTGATCTCAGGCTGTAACAATATATATATTATGGCAAAACCTGAAATCTAGCTTCATCACAACACAAGACATCTCTGGAAGTAAAGGTCTATATTACTTTGTGTTTGCAAACTTTGAGAAATGTCTTAGTTCTTGCTCACTGTAAAAGGACTGAAACTGTTTGAGGAGAAATAAATGCTCAGATCTACAACAGACATATTTTCCTATGATTCTTAGCTGGAGATTTTTTTTTTTTTTTTTTTTTTTTTTTTTTATTATTATGATTCTTGAGCTCATTATTCTGCTGCAGAATAAAAGTTGAAAGGTTCTGTCACCAAAAGCTTAAACCTTATCCTTGGCACCATCCAGTATTGTATATCCAGCCATATGTGGATCTTTTTCATTAACTACTCACCATTCTGTAAACCCAATTGATTCTTTTGTAAATTACATATTGTGTGCACCTCTTCAGTTACAGTACACCAGGGGCTGAATTTGTTTTTAAAGGTATGCGGTAAAAGAAATATGTGTCAGATAATGAACAATGCTTTGTTTAAAAATGAATGAAAGAAAAAATATTCAGAGAAAGATAAATCCCAAATACTTGGCAGAGCATCTGGTCTAAGTTTGTGGTACTTTGCACGAACAGCAGGTGGAGCAATGCACACAGATATCAGATTTTTACTTTCAGCACTTGTCTGTTTCATTTTGCTAAGCTGTAAAGGAAAAGGAAAGATAAAACAGGCTTTCGCAAAAATTAGCAGCTCTTTAAGACAGAAAGATCTGTTTTTTGCATCACCAAAGTTTTTCCATAAATTCTTTTTTTATTTTTAACTACTAAAACACCAATGTGCTAGTTAACACATTAAGCTAATTTAAGGTGTGTTTGGAAAGTTTACATATTCAGAAGTTTCTGTGACTCTATTTTCAATCTTGTTTGTACTGGTAAAAATATCTGAATCTTGTCACAATCTGTAATTTATTTCGATATTTCCAATGATCATCTGAACCTCTGTGGATATAACTCTTTATCCACAGCATATCAGGGCCACAATGTGGTTAGAACACAAGCTGAATTAATCAAAAAATGGGTCAGCCTGCCGTCAGCGTAAGCCCCTCTAAGCATCAGGCAGGAGGACTCTTTATCAGTGCAAACTGAGCATCTGCATAATATGTATCCGAGTAAGACATTAATATTATTATTTATTGGCTTCAATCTATTAGTGTCACTTGAATAAATTTAATTACAATTTAGATTTTTTTAACATCTAAAACAATTTGTGAAGCTCGTGTGAAGATCAAATGGCGAGGTCACGTTTTTCACTTAAATCCATGCATCTCTGTACAAAATGGAAAAAAAATTAAAATAAATCAAGTTTGCCTGAGTTATAAACATGTAAAAGATAAAAGGAAAAAATTTGAAAGAAACATTTCATTAAAATCCTGCAAACATTTAACTTATAACTAAAACCTTTTGTTTCCAACTGTGCCACCAAGCTTTCAATCAGCTTATTGAAATGATTGGGAAACCTTGTTGAGTGCACCATAGTTCAAGAACACATGCAATTGTTAGAGAAACAATATTTTCCCTTCTTCTCTGTGGGGTGCATTTTTGTGTTTATACAGGAGTTTGCTCAAGAACTTTAAGCAGCAAAGACCTTTTTTATTACTATTATTTTAGTCTCAGTGGAATAATTTTAAACACCCTCATTCATTTCTGTTGAAGGATCGGCATGTTGCTTACTAAAACACTCCGGCGGAAATGATACTGTGATATAGTTCATTTCAAGACTGTTTCTGATCCATCATAAGCCGCGATAAGTTTCTCTGTCACCAGCTCATGCCTTCTGGAATGTCCTCATCGTGAGTGTACAAATAAAAGGAAACCTCAGAGCACTGATAGTGGTACAGACATTTCAATTTTAATCTCAGCGCTTAGAGAAATTTTTACTACCACTTAAAAATGTTCACATATTGTCACATAGCATTGTATTTCATGAGGATTTTATCAGATGTTCATGAACAAAATAGTTCAGAATTGTAAAATGAAAGGAGATTATACTAAAAAAGTCTCCTGTTTCACTGAATCAACAATTTTTTGTAGATTTTTCTTTTCAAAAAGGATCAGGCTCAGTAAGACTGTATAAATTGCATCTTTAAAGGTCAACTATCAAGTCCAAAGATAATAATTTTAACACACAAATATGTTTTGATCTAAACCATGTCATGTAGCTCAGGAAGAATGTTTCATTCTCCTCCAGGAAAGTAAACCTTCACCTCGGTCTCACATTTTTTTACAACCTCCATGTTCCCCATATTTTCTTGAAGGTTTTTTCCAGGATAGGGCATCATCTTAGCTTCCCCCATCCATGCTGAAAAAAGGCATCTACACAGCACGTTCTATCCGCCTCCATAAATCTCCACATGGAATGGTGTGGAGAGATGTGCCATGTTACTTTTTTAACCACTCATGAGGTTTTGCGTGTTAATTTTCTTCCTATTGACTAGAACATATACCGGTATGTGTTTGAGGTTTTCTTTTCAAAGCAAACTGCAAATGAAACTTATTGCTGCAATTCTATGAAGAGTTGTAAAACTCATCTGAGAAAGGCCTCTTTTCAAACATTGTGAATAAATGACTATGTTCTATCAATTATATGTTGAAACAAGCTTTTCAGGTGACGATTCATGAAGTGATGAAAGTTAAAGACCACAGTTTATGACCTTTTGTCTCAGGGTCCTCTCATTTGGAAACACTGCTTTTCACTGGGACAATTACAGGTGCAATGGAGGGAAACCTGATCTGACTGGCTTCAGAGGACTCCACCAATATAAATATTGCCACACATACCCCTAAAGCCTGGGACAAAATCGCTGTCACTGGCTCCTGTTCTCTAGCTGGTTGGCTTAAGAGGGACACACTCATCATTCCCCCTTGACATATTGGGGCCACGCTGACTGTGGGGAGAGCGCCTGTTGGGGGGCTCTAACAAGGTCGAATGGGTGAGGCCGATGACAGCTTGACGGATCAGGGCAAACTAAGCAAAAGAGAGGTGCCAGGAGGAGTAGATGGCTTAAACATGCCGGTCTGCTCACGGTGCTTCTGCGTGAGAAATAAAAGGAACTGAGATGAGCTAAAGAAATAAAACAGCAAATGAGGCAGGTAGTATAGCTACGATAGATAAAACAAACATGCCAGACTGTAAAAAGGTGATAATTTCCCCCACTTGTTTATTAGTTGGATGGTATTTCAGGTTGCATGCCAGCTCTGCATACATCTTAGCCTGCCTCATATTCGCCCTGACACTCCTCACTTCCTCCTCTTCTCTTCCACAGTCCTTACATCCAGTTCAGTTTAACGTAGTGCTGAGTTACACAGAACTATAAATTAACCTGAGAACTAATCACCTCTACTTTTAACCAGTAATTAGCATTTTTCAGCTGTCTGTTTCTCTAGTTTTGTGTTGTGACAGATTGGGGACCTATAAAGTATGGAACAAATAACTCTTGATGGCTCTGGTGTTGCCTGCTTTCAGAGTTTAGTTTCATACATCTGCTAAAATCTTGTTTTGCTGCGTTGATGAGCCATCAATCTGACTCCAGTATCAGTATCTGTGTTGCAGTGTCATTCTCAAGAAGGATTATGTTATTAGATTTCTGCCGAAACATCTGTTCCCTTCAGCATCATTTTCAATCTAGTTTTATTTGTATCTTCCATAGCCTACTACTGTGTTGAACTTCTAAATTTCACATAGGACTGTCATTTATATCATCCAAACTATTATGAATTACATGTTGCATTTAAAGCTCAAGAGTTGACTCTAAGATATGTGAACTTTTTTTTTCTAAAGTGTTCCTAACACTAGTGGCAAGAGTCTTGCTGACATTACAAATGTAAATGCAAGTGTCTTGGATGTCCAGTTAGGATAGTGTGTCCAACATATTTACAGACTTGAAAGCACATCTGAATGTAAACCGAGCCACGTTTCCCCAACATGGGATTTCAATGTGAGCTCCAGAAGTCCACGTGCCGAGCTGTCCTTGTTTCTCATCATTCCTGCGACTCGCTGTCCTTTCTGGAGTCCAGCAGATTTGCACCTCGATCAGCATCTTAGCGCTGGCTCTCTGCAGTCTCTGATGTCTGCAGCATGTGTTTCCACTTGTCAGGCCATGCTCCTCCTTTTACTCCACGGCTGAGCGTCACACGAGCCACTTTCTGTCTCTGTTTTCCCACAAAACAAGGCGTCCATTACAGAGGCCATTAATAAGGAAGGTGTATCCCTCAACTTTGTCATGTTACATACTTAAATGTAAATTTGTTTTATTAAGTTATGAGATAGACCAACAGGAGTGTGGGGGTTTGAACACAAACAACAATGACACACAATTTTCAGAATCTTTTACCAAGGAAACTTTAAAAAGTTATGAATCGTTTGTATT